AAGGCAGCGCCCACGTGCCGTGCTCAGGTCAGCCCGCGCTGTAGGCTGTGACAATGCTCGCACAGGTGGCTGCATGGAGGCTGTCTTGGCAGCACCCCGGGCCCTGGGCCAGCACCCACAGAGCGGCCTCCTCCATGCCCGGAGCTTCCCTTAGTCACGGGCCTCTGCTGCTACTGCTGTTGCTTTCTCTTTCTTCTTGATTGTCCACGGTGTCTGACTGAGGGTTCCCCGCCAGTGGAGCTCAGGGATTGAGCTGTTTGGGGTCTCCTTCCCCTCCTGCAAGCCCCTGACCTCACTTCAGCGCAGCTCTGGGAGGCTGCAATCTTGGCTATTGACCACCAGGTGGCCATGTCAACCTTGTCCCTGGCCGAGCACTGAGCTGGGTATGCTCTGGCTGCGTTTTCCTTGTTGTGTCCTTTGTTTTTCCAGGAGTTCATGATTGCCTTGCTTTCTGCTTGCATCAGGCTGGGCAATCAGTGTGTCCTGTCCGTTTGCATACCTTTGGTTGTGAGGAGCTGGAAGGCCTAACACATTTTCAGCTCAGCATCTCTCTGCCTCCCCTGCCCCTGCCCGTCCTCTTGTGCAGCTGATCCCATGAGGCAAACTCAGCACCACTTCAGAAGAAGCTGCCTGTATTTGCAGACCTTTGAGGGACTCTGCCATTGTGGGGAGGTAATCCCAGGCTTGGGGATGCCTGAAGGGAGACAGAGCACTGATAAAAATGGGTGGGTGACCTTGAAGGTGTGGCTGAGATGAGTGACTTGCTCAGGGTCACTTCTGGCTCTGATGGGAGAACAGCACTTTGTGGGCAGCTGGTGGAAGCCAGCTCTGTCCAGGTGTGCTGCTGTGTCTTTTCTTCCTGGGGCTGCCTTGTGACCATGGGCACTCCATGGTGCAATATGGTAAGAAAGACCCCCACAGGCTCAGATCCCAGGGAACTAGCGCAAGCCATCCGGGATGAGCTCCAAGCACAGCAGGCTCGTCAAATTATCACGATGACTTGGGTAAAAATTTGGCTTCCTCCTGCCCGGCAGCAGGACCTGGGCAAGCTGTTCCAAGTCTTGGGCTCAAAGCCTAATGGGTAAGGTGAAGGTCTAGCCATACCGGCTTCACCAGGCCATCAAGTTGCCAGGAAGTGCCAAGACTGAGGCTGCTGGGACCCCAGGGAGCTTCTGTGTAGCCCACAGGGAGCGGGACAGGCTGGCCCTGAGAATACTGCCAGAGGCAAGGAGCTGGCTTCTTTCCAGGTGGCAGCTGTCTTGCTGAGAAGGGTGTGTGGCAGGAAGGGGTAGGGAGGACCATCTTCACGAGACAGACCAGGATGTCAGTCATAGCTCTGCCACTAATGGCCCTGGGCACACTCCAGCACCTTTCTGAGCCACGCTGTTTTCTTCTTATTATTATTAGGTAAACGTACCTGAAAGCAATCAGATGCACCTTGTCGGGATGGCGTGAGTTTTCCTGTGTTCCACCAGTGTCTTCCAAGCACCTACTGTGTGCTCTGCAGCATAGTGGGTCCACAAGAGGAACTGATCCTTGGAAGAGGGGTGGGGAAGGTAGGGGAGGGGATTTCTGGCTGAGGGCGCAGCCTTTGCAAAGAGAGGCTCAAGGAAGCTTGGGCTGGGAGTGGCTGGACACGAGGGGGTGTGCGCGGTCGGCAGGGGTCCAGGCACCTGGAAGCTGGAGGGTGGGGGTGTTGGCTGGTCCTGGGTTCGGTGCTGCGGAGCATGGTTGTGCCAGGACTCACCACCAGAGGGCGCTGTGGGCCAGCAAGCCGTGGCGGCCCCTGCTGGTGGCAGAGTCAAGTACACAGCTGTGCGCAGCTGTTGCAGGTGCTTAGGGTCCACCACTGCACGCGTGCCCGTGCGTGGCCACACGCGTGCACCCTGTTGTGTGTGTGTGTGTGTGTGAGTGTGTGCCGGTGGGCTTGGGTACTGCGGCCAGCACATGGGGTTGAAACTGTGCAAGCCCATGAGAATCAGCAAGTTCAGGAGTGCATTTAGCTGAGAACTGGGACCGTGTGCCTGGTCTCTTTGAGACTCCCCTAGCAGCCATCCCCTCTCGGCCCCCAGCCTTTGCACGTATCAGCTCCACCCCCCATGCCTGCAACGCATCCCCTGCCTCCCCTGCGCTGCTCACCGGCCACCTCTTTGAAACGGGCGCCCCACTTTGCCTGCCTTGCTGCTCCCACAGATCCAAGTCTGTGCAATGAATGCGGAATGAGCCGCCCGCCCGCATCCAGGCCTATGCCCTCTCTCCAGGCCTCTGTCAGCCCACGTCCCGCCCACCTCAACCTCAGTTTCCCGGTGCCTGCTTGGCACTGAAGGTGAGAGGCAGCCTGCCGTCACTCACCTTCTGGCTCTGAGTGGTCGTGGCACCCCTGGGCCTGGCCGTGCCACTGAGAGGCAGGAGGGCAGTGAGAGAAGAAGGACCGGGGGCCCCCAGCTCTCGCTCTCCCCAATCCTTGGCCTCCGCCGTTGCTTCTCTGCCTCGCAACCTCCTAACTGGTCCTCAGAGGAGCAGTCACCAAGTCACCTCCTCCGAGGAGCCTTCCAGGACCCCACCCAGGTGGAGTCCAGCAGCTCATGCACCTGTTTACAGCACCCCACGTGGAGTGTTGTGATTCCTGGGGCGTTTGTCAGGTCCTCTGACTAAGCCATCAACTCCCCACGTGCGTGCGAGGACCTCTTCTGAGTCACCTACTGCCCTGGAGGCCGGTCCGGGCCCAGAGTCGCTTCACCCCTGGCCATGCCACCCTTTCCTGCTTCCCTGGGCCCGCAGTGGGCCGGGGGGTGGAGTGGGAACGCTGCAGGGAGTGGGACCCAAAGCCGTCCCGCTCAGCAGGGCATGTGAGCGCAGGGCTAAAATGAGGCAGAACCAGGGGCGTGGGTGGAGGATTAGCCTGACGGGGGCTGGCCACCCAGCAGGCATCGGAGTAGCACCGAAGGGGACGAGCCCTGGGAAGCCTGGTGTTGGTGGGGGGTGGCAGGCATGAGGGGCGTGGGCAGGTCCAGGGCCAGCCCCCAGCTGTGGATGCCCGCGGGGCGGGGAGGGGCGTGCCGGCGGGAGGAGAGGAAGCTGGGGCAGAGAACCTGCTGGATGGGGCTTTAGTTCTGACCGGGAGGCCGCCACCGCTGGGTGCCCACTCTGCAGATGGGTCCTGAACCCCATGCCTGGCCTCCTACAGGAAGTGGGCCCAGGTGGAGTCCTGCCTTGCCCGGGCTGGGGAGACTGCCAGGTCCTTGCACGGGGGTCGGGGGGCTTGCAGGCCTGAGTGGCTGGAGATGCGCTCCCACCCGGGACAGGGGCGCGCACGCGGCACGGAGCTGCGGTGGCCGCTCCGGGGCCACAGAGCCGGCCTGCGGCTCGCCTCTCCACCGGACCTCGCCCCTGAGTGGGTGCGGCCTGCGGGCATCACCCCCTGCGGTGCACACAGTAGGGGGTGGCACCTGCCGCCCTCACGTGTGAGGTCCTGCCCGGAGGCCAGCCTGCGACCTCTTGACCTCTGCCGGCCCGAGTAACCTGAAGCCTGGGGCCAGGTGGGTCAGCGGCCTCGGAGGTCTCCCCCACCCCCCCCACGACCCCGCCACAAGGCTCGGTGCGGGAGCAGATGGAGGCCGCGGCCGTCCGGCAGCTGGAGGCCCGAGCGAGGCCAGGGGCCCCGCGCAGCGCCAGGCAGCGACCTGGGCACCGGACTGCCCCTGAGCAGAACGTACCGACAACGCCACCGTCCTCTGGCTCCTTCCCGCGAACAGCCCGGGGGCCCGGGGCGGGGCGCCGAAGGGGCTGCGGAGCTGGGAGCGTGGCCCAGCGCGGGACGCGCGCGCTCGGCGGGCACCCCCCCGGCGTGGGCGTGGCTTGCATCTTGACAGGCAGCGGGAGGCGGAGCCTGCCGAGGCCTGAGTTTCCCGAGGAGGGGCGGGGCCGGATCTGGGCGGGGTTCGTGTTTGACGGGCAGTCCGAGGCCAGCACTGATAGGCAGGGGCCGGGCCCTGGAGACCGCCGGGCCAATCCGACCGCGGGACCGGGCTCGCCCCGCCCGCCCCCCGCGGCGTCGCCCGGCCGGGCCTCGGCGCCGCCCGCCGCAGTCGGGATCTGCTGGCCGCCTGGGTCCTCGCCGCCGCCGCCGCCGCCGCCGCCGCCGCCGCCGCCTCGCGCGGGCCGCCCGTCCGCAGCTATGGCCGCGCCCGGGCCCGTGAGGGTCCGCCGCACGCTCGCCTAGGCGCCCGCCGCCGCCGCCGCCGCCGCCCGGGGCCCGCCTGCAGCATGGAGTCGCCCGCCCCCGGCCAGCCCGCCGGCGTGCCGCAGTCCAAAGGTAGGCGCGCCCTCTGCACGGTCCCGGGACCGCAGCTCCCCAGCGCGCCCCGGGGCCGCAGCCTCGCCGCCACCTCTGGGGAGTGCGCCTGCAGGCGTGGCCGGGCTGCCCCCAGCCTTCCATCCTCCTGGAATCTCTCCCGGGCTTCCCGCCACAAGCGGACCCAAGAGGGAGCCCCCAGGACCCTCCCCTCCCCCCCGTCCGGGTCCAGCTCCCGGCCCCAGGGCCGAGTCTGGGGTCTCTCTCCCACTCCGCGCCTGGGCCCCGGCTCCTCGCTCGTCCTGCCGGGGCAGGTGCACTCGGGGCTTCGCGTCTTGTCTTCCCCCAGCCTGGAACCCCTGCACGCCGGGACCCTCGTCCGGCAGCCCCATTCCCCGGGACACCCCCCCGCCCCCCGCCACGACTGCTCCTTCTTGTCTTGACTTTGCAAGCTTCGCCCTGCACTTGGGCTGGCCTTGAGCCGCCTGGACGCCGGAGGTGGGGGGAGGTCCAGCCCCCGGGCCAGAGGTGCCTGCTCAGCACAGGGTCTCTTGCAAGCCACTGGCCTTCCGGGAAATTTCTGTGCGGTGGCCGCTGCGGCGGCAGCATTTGTCATGCAGAGGGCGGTGGATGAGACTTGGAGGGTGAAAGGGGATTTTTTTTTTTTTTTTTTCAGGAAGAGGAGAGCATGTTTTTGGCGTGCCCCAGTCTCGGTAGGCTGGGTGGTGGGAGGGGTTTCCAAACCGGACATGGCTGTAATGAATGGGCTCTGTGAACCTGCTGTTGCCTCGCCCTGGGGAGCCCCATGACGGGCTCTGGGTCTGTTTCCTTATCTGTGAGATGGGGGGTGGGAGACAGTCACACCTACTTCTGTGGACAGGGACGTGTGACGTGAGAGAGGGGGTCAGCAGGTGCACAAGCCAGCAAGGCGCCTGCTCAGCTGCACACAGTAGGTGCACACAGTAGGTGTGCAGGAAGGGAGTAGCTGTTGCAAGCGTTACTGTTGCCGTTTTCAACCCCCCCCTCCCTTGCTGGAGAGACCTCAGCCATGCGGCTGCAAGAGGGAAGTCTCCTGGGGGGGGCGCCTGGGCACTTAGTGGGTGCCTGTTCAGGGGCTGTCCCCTCTGCTCCCCTCCTTCCCTGGAGGGGTCCTGGGGAGGGTGTGGGCCCTTCCTGGGCCCTGCTGCCAGTGGCTGCGGTGGCTGTGGGCTGGAGCCGGGTGGGCAGGGTAATTACGGCTTACGTAAGCCGGAGGCCGGATCCCCGACAGCATTGCCCAACCTCTGAGTAACTCAGCAGGCACTCGCGCCGGGGAGGTGGCCGGGGAGGGCCCTGCTCCACGCACAGACCTTGTGGAGCTTGGGAACCGGGAAATCAGACACTCCTCGGCTCCAGAGGGTCGGGAAGGGGTGGGAAGCCGTGTTGATCTTGAAGCCGTGTCAGCCCTTCCAGGCAGGGCAGAATAAACCGCTGAGGTTGCAGGGCTGTGGAAGAAGGGACAAGAATGCTCCAGGTGCCGTGTGACTTGGGGCCACCCCCTGCCCTGGGTTTATTTCTGCCTTGGGGATCCAGGGAGCAAGATGATGCCTACCTAGGGGGTTGCGTGGAGGGTCAGGGGCCCTCCATAGATAAGGAAACAGAACCTTGGTGTCACAGCTGTAAGGTGTCACAGAGCGAGTTAGCTCTCCACCCAGCACCGTTTGTGTCCATGGTGGTCTCCCCAGGGGTCCCGTGTCCCATTCCTGTGCTGGGTGCTCGCCTTGGCCAGGGGGATGCCCCCACCCTCACCCGCGTCCCTCCTGGACCTGGAGGGTGGGCTGAGGCAGAAGTGTTGCCCATCCTGTGCACTGCCCCGTGCACTTGGAGTGTTGACTGCTTGCCGCAAGCCAGCCCATTTCGCAGATGCAAAACTGAGGTCTGGTGGTGGGTGGGGTGGGGAGTGGCTGGTCTGAGGCCACAGAGCAGAAGGCCTGCCTCGTATGCCCCCCCCCCCCCATTCCTGGGCCCCAGGCCCCCAGCATGGAGCTTTTCTTGACCTGCTCAAGGGAATTCGGACAGAGCAGGGAGTGGCTGCTGGGTGACCTGAGAGCTTTTACCTCAGAACTTCCTGCCTTGCAGTGGATGTCCTGCTTGTGTTCTGGGCAGGGCCTGGGCCCTGGCCTCCCGGCCCACGTGCTGTCTCCGGCTGGGGTCAGAGGTCACGGGCAGCTGGTGCTGGGACACACGTGGTCGGCGTGGTCTGGGTCTACGGGCCGCATTTGTCCTTGGCTGTTCCCGTCTTGGGTTCGGCCGCTTGGGGAGGCTGCCAGACAGGGCACCCTGAAACTGCAGAGTATTGCCTGCTGGGGCTGCTGTCCCCCCCCGCCCCCCCGCTGCACAGCCCTGTCCCCCAATCCCGGCTGTCGGAAACACTGGAAGGTGGCACCTTGGGGAGTTCCCCCACCCCTGTCGTGACGCACAGGAAACTCTCTATCAGCCAGCATGTGGCTCTGGGCCCGAGAGGAGCAAAGTTCTCCATCAGCCCTGTGTGGTGAGAGGGCCGGGGCAGTGGAGGCTTCCGGTGAGTCAGCGGGCACCGGGCGCTGACTCACCCACCGGGCACGCCAGCCGGCTGCTTGCAGCTTAAAGGGGCATTGCCCACCGGCCTGCTGGCTGGGACGGGGCTGCTTGCCTGGGCCCCGCCAGCAGCGCCCGGCCCTGAGCTGGGGTGCCGGAGGGGGCCCGTCCTGGACTGCAGGCTGGGCTGCTCACCCAAGAACTTCCTCTGTCAGGCAAAGGGGCTCCGCTTCCTCTTGCTCACGGAGCAGAAGCAGGTGGCTGTGGCTGTTTTCCGCCCTTGGCCCAGGGGACTCCTGAGGCGTAGCCGTGCAGCTGGGGGCTCGGAGAGTGAGGGCTGGAGGCCGTGCAGGGTCAGCCGGCGGCGGCCGCGGTGCAGGGACGATGGGGCGGGAGGGTGGGGTGGCGGCGGTGGTTAAGGGCTCAGGCTCAGTTCCAAGCTCTGCCCCTACTTGCACTGGGCGAGTCGCGCGCTTGGTCCCTTCCCTGCACTCTGAATGACTGACGTTCCCTGGGCCCAGCTTTCAGCGAGGACAGGCCTCAGTTTCCTGACCTGCAGAATGGGTGCAGGGGACCCTGGCTGCCCGGGTGCAGACAGCTGCATTCCACTCCTGCCTCGTGTCAGGTTCTGGTCACAGCAAGGTTGCCCTCTGCCCACAGAGGCAGGAAGTGGAGGTGGAACCTGGGCTTTGGCGCCTCCTACCCCACTGGTGCCTAGGCTGGAGGTAGGGTTGCCTCCTGGGCTTTCCTGAGCCCGCAGATCTGCCTCTGCCCTATCTCTGGCATTCCAAGGCTGAACAGGGGAACCTTGGCTAGGAGGGCAGTTGGGATGCATCCTCTTGGGCCAGCCCCATAGTATGGGGGACACTTGCATGGAGCCCGGGCCGGGTGAGCAGCCCAGGTGCAGGCCCAGCTTGGGTGCCTGGCCTAGAGGGCCAGGGTCTCAGCAGGGGTCCCTGGGGAGAAACACAGGGGGAGCAGCTGGAAGGTGCCCCCCGACGGGCACTGGTACCACCAGCCTTGAAGGCTTATGCTGAGGCGGGCATGCCCAGTGCTGGGCAGGCTTCCTGGGGATGGAGCCTGGGGGAGGTGGGCAGGGATGGGGCAGTGTGGCTGGCATTGGGCAGGACGTACCGCATCAGGGCCGGGACAGCCAAGCGAGGGCTTAGGGCATGCCCCGACCCCGCTTGTCCTCTGCCTGTCTGTGTCTTGGCTCAGCCTCCTGCCGCTGGCACTGGGCACCCTACCCTGGTTGCCAGCCTGGCTCTGCCCTGGCCCATTTAAGAGACGTGGTAATGACGAAGGCAGCGGGGCCTTGGTCGAGGGAAGGGGCTTCAACTGGTTGGCGTGCACAGACGCCTGCACCTGGCCACAGCCTGAAGCTCCCCAGGACCCCAGGCCCAAACTCCGCCATGTTTCTCGGAAGGTCTGGCAAGGACCCCACAGGATTCTGGAAGCCTGGTGTGTGGGGGCCCCTGGCCTGTGCGTGCCACACACATTACATGCACGCTCTCATTATGCCTTCGTGGTCACCCGGCATCTGGAAGGGTGTGGTTGTCACCCTGTTTTACGAGTGACTAAACAATGGCCCAGGGTCACAAAAGTCGGTCAGGAGTGTGACCTTGTCCTGACCCCTGACCCTTGCTCGCCCTTTCTTAGAGATCCCTGTTGCGGCACCCATGCATAGAACATCACAGGGAGAGACGAGACTCTGAGAGGAACTGTGGGTGCTCACGGGCTCCCTGGCACCGCTCACTGCCCGCTGGGGGCAGATACTGCTGGAGCTGCTTGCCCAGGGCTCAGGCCAGTCCTCGTGGGTACCCTGGGCAGGCCCCTGGGCATTTTCCCTCTGTGTGGGTGCTGGGTGCCCCGTCACAGGTGGGCAGGAAGGAGGACCCTCTCCTTCTTCTCTTTCTTATCCTTTTTTTTTTTTTTTAAATTTTTTTTGACAGGCAGAGTGGACAGTGAGAGAGAAAGACAGAGAGAAAGGTCTTCCTTTGCCGTTGGTTCACCCTCCAATGGCCGCCGCGGCCAGCGCGCTGGGGCCGGCGCACCGCGCTGATCTGATGGCAGGAGCCAGGAGCCAGGTGCTTCTCCTGGTCTCCCATGGGGTGCAGGGCCCAAGCACTTGGGCCATCCTCCACTGCACTCCCTGGCCACAGCAGAGAGCTGGCCTGGAAGAGGGGCAACCGGGACAGAATCCGGCGCCCCGACCGGGACTAGAACCCGGTGTGCCGGCGCCGCTAGGCGGAGGATTAGCCTAGTGAGCCGCAGCGCCGGCCTCTTATCCTTTTTTTTTTTTTTTAAATGTATTTTATTTATTTATTGGAGAGGTAGAGTTACAGACAGGGAGAGAGAAAGGTTGGCTTCTGTTGGTTCACTCTCCAAATGGCCACAATGGCTAGAGCTGAGCCGATCTGAAGCCGGGAGCCAGGAGCTTCTTCCGGGTCTCCCATGCAGGTGCAGGGGCCCAAGCACTTGGGCCATCTCCCACTGCTTTCCCAGGATCAGAAGAGGAGCAGCCGGGACACGAACCAGTGTCCATGTGGGATGCCGGGGCCACAGGTGCAGGCTTACCCTGCTACACCACAGCGCCTGCCCTGACCCTCTGCTTCTTGTGTGGCTTAAATTGCAGGCCTTGCTTGCCATCAGAAATGTCAGGGAGCAGCCAGGGTGTTCTCTTGCTGCTCCTGGGAAGGCTGTGAGTAGAGGTGGTGGGCGTCATTCATCCTCTTGCACACTGCCCCTTCCCTCTAACTCCTGGCTCCTGCTGTGCCTTGGAGATACTCTGGGCATCCCGCCTGGGGCCCCACGGGACTCTCACCCCGTCGAGGCTGGGAGATCTCTTTGCGGGTGGAGCTTACGCTGGAGGGGGTAGCGAGGGGGTGGGGTTAGAGTGAGCCATAGCCAGAGTGCCACGCACAGGGTGACTGGGAACAGGGCTCACCCAATACTTGCAGGAGATGAACTGTCCTGGGGGCAAGTGGAGTTTTTGGGGCAAGAGGGATGGGCATTTTGGTGTTCACAGGGAGCCAGGGAGTCCAGCCCAGCGAGATCTGGCGGGGGAAGGAGGGGAGGGCTGCCGCTGCCTGCTGCCTGCTGCCTGCTCTGTGCCCTGCCTGTCTCAGCCTGTCCCTTCCTTCCCGTCACTTCCCAGCCCCTCTACGTGTGCTGTCCTTGGGTGCCCCGGCCGCCCTGAGCCCTGGGTCTTTCCACGACCGCCTCCTGCCCCTGTCACCCTCAGGGCACACCCCTGCTCAGGGAGGCCATGTCCTCTGTCCCCTTCCCTCACTTCAGTGTGCTGCTTGTGCCCGTTGGCTGTTTGCAATTTCGGTCCCCTGGCTCTGTGCGCGTCGTAGGCTGGCCCACCTTTTGCGGTGGGGGCTATGCACACCCTTAGCCACCGCCGCCGCCGAGTGCCCAGCTTGGGGTGAGTGCTACGAGGTGGGCAGGGTGACCCCAGGCGGCTGGGGGCAGAGCGAGGGCAGGCTGTGTGGTCAGAGGTTGCGGTGCTGGGGCACAAGGTGGCAGGGCGCCTGGATGAGGGCGGGACCTGCTCCTGGCACATGGTAGATGCTCAATACAAGATAGAGCCCTGCCTTCTCCTATACCCCAGGCTTCCTCCTGGGCCAGGGTCCCTAGGCCCTGCCTGGGGGTGCTGACTGCTCCTGCTCCTTCGAGTGCCCCTTGGGACCTCTGTGGGGGCCCCGGACCCCAGGGAGAGGCCGAGTATGCGTCTTGGGCTTTGGCTTCTGGAAGCTGATAACCGTTAGGGACGGAGGTCTGTCTGCCCACACAGCAGCCCGCCCCTCCCCTTCCTGGGGCCTTGGTGTCCAGTGGGAGGGGTCTACCTCGCCGCTCTCTCTTTCCCCTGCGGGGACAGCAGGAGGCCCAGGACTGGGATCCGGTTGCACAGGAAGGCCCTCTGTAAGCCAGAGCAGCCATGCAAGGCTTGCCCTTGGGAGCCACGGGGTGGGACGGAGTGGTTCCGTCAGAGGCCCCAGGGGCGGTGGGGCTGGCCCTGCCTGTCTGGACGCAGGAGCCAGGCTTCACGCCACGTGCATCCTCAGCTGCCTCCCTGGCCCGCGTGCTACCGCGGACGTGGAAGCAGGCCCCTCAGGGAGCTGCCGAGGGGTGGACGCGGGTTGGCTGGGGCCGAGGGCCTGACGTTATCTCGGGAGCGTCCAGATGGCCCCTCTGATGTTCTGTGCGTCAGGCTTTGCAGAGTCAGGGCCCTGGCAGCCCTGGGAGGTCCGTTGGCCTCTTATCCCGGCTTCCCAGCAGGGCGAGGAGCTGCCAGGGGTGCAGACGGCTCCAGGCCGGGCTCTCAGGGGTCTGCTGTCTGCTCCTCTGAGCCAGTGCTTGCGGGCAGGGTGCAGAGAGCGGTGCCCTTGAGGGGGGCTTAGCTGGGTGGTCCAGGAGGCAGGGGTGGAGCTGTAGGGAAGGGCATTCTGGGGCAGCAGGGACAGCATGTGCCCAGGCCCTGGCGTAGGAAAGAAGGCGATCCATTCGGGGAGCGGCTGGCGGGAGTTGTGTCTGAATCCGCCCCCCTCCCCCTTTAGAGCAGCGGGGTAGCCTCGGGGTGGCCTCAGTTCCCTCCCCACCTCCCCCCGCCTGGGAGCTGTGTGAGGCCACAGCGACCGGAGGACTCATACACCCGGCACTGGTTCGCCTGCTCCAGGGCCTTGCGAGCTGGGGCCGGCGGCAGCTCGTGGGGGTTTTCCTGTTTGTTATGGTGACGGTCTCCATTGCAGCCACACCTGGGCAGCCCCAGGCTGCCTGGCCAGCTGGGCGGACAGTGACAGCGGCTGGTGGCCCGAGGGCTCGCCCGCTCCCTCTGACAGCTGTCAGAGCCCAGGTCACCCCTGACGCAGGCGCTGTCCCAGACACAGGTCACGGCTCTCCCAGCTGCGGGAGGAGGGGCAGGCCTCACTCACCCAGCCCAGCCACAGGCATAAAACAGTTTATTAGAGAGAGAGAGAGAGCGCATGCACCCCAGGTGTTCCAACAGAATGCAGGCATCTCAGCCACTGGGCTAAACGCCCATCCCCTGGTTGCAATTTTTAGCACAAAACATGTTCTGTTTGGATTTTTAGCATAAAACATGTGCTAGTTACCAGCAGCCTCAAGTCAATAATGAAAGCTGTGTATGATCCTGGCTGCTCGGGACAGGGTTTCTCGCCTCTGCCGAGGGGTGGCTGTGTGTGTGTGGGCCGGGATGAGGCCATGCGCCAAGCCTCACAGACGGGGGCTCACGTGGGCGCACTCAGCCCCGCTGTGGCTGTGCCGGGCGGGTGCTCTGCTCTGCTCTGCAGGTGCAAAACCTGGGGTGCAGGCTCCGTGCTGGATCTCAGAGCCGGGCGTGGGGCAGGGGTTGGCCTTGGCTCCGGGCCCGCCCAGCGTGTGCAGCCTGCGGCTCAGAGCGCCTGCCCAGTTTCTCCAGAGCTTTGACCAAGAGGCAGGACTGAAGTGGCCTCAGGATCCCTTTGCATGTCTGGCCTGGCATGCTGTGGCTTTTCTCTGCTGCTTTTTTTTTTTTTTTTTTTTTTTTTTTTTTTTTTTTTTGACAGGCAGAGTTAGACAGTGAGAGAGAGAGAGGAGAGACAGAGAGAAAGGTCTTCCTTCCGTTGGTTCACCCCCCAAATGGCTGCCACAGCCAGCATGCTGCGCTGATCTGAAGCCAGGAGCCAGGTGCTTCTCCTGGTCTCCCATGCGGGTGCAGGGCCCAAGCACCTGGGCCATCCTCCAATGTACTCCCGGGCCACAGCAGAGAGCTGGACTGGAAGAGGAGCAACTGGGACAGAACCGGTGCCCCAACCGGGACTAGAACCCGGTGTGCCGGCGCCACAGGCAGAGGATTAGCCTAGTGAGCTGCGGTGCCGGCCCCCTGCTGCTTTATATTTCTTGTCCTGCAATATGTGCTGTGAGCTGTGGACAGCCTTTGGGCTCAGAAATGACCATTGGCCAGATCCCTGACTTGCTGTGTAACGCGGGGCCAGTGCCGTCACCTCTCTGATCCCCAAGTAAAATGAGGCCAAGAACCCTTTGTCCTAGGACTGTTGAAGCATCTAGAATGATAGGCCATGAGTGTGTCCCACAGGGGACAGGCATCTGACAGGGACCCAGCTGGCCTCTGATAGCCGCTGCGGTACCTAGACTCACAGCGGGTCCTGAGTTGGGTGTGGGTGCGGGATAGACCCTGTGACCCTACCCCTCACTGGACAGGGTACCAGGCTGCCCCCTGGCTAGCTGGCTGGCTGGCCACTGTGTGTGGGCCCTGCCTGCTAGGGCCCAAAGAGGAGGCCGCTCAAGGCTGGATCCCAGGCTAGCCCAGGGACTGGGGTCTGTCTGCTTGGCAGGTGTTGGCATGGCTCGGGCTGTTCCCAGGCCCCAGGAGGCCGAGCAGGTGGCAGGGTCTTGCCTGGGTGGTGGGAGGAACCTCCTCAGGGGCAGGCACGTGGAAGGCATGGGTGGACCCTCGCTTGGCCCCCCGCTGGGTGCTGGGTGACCGGCATAGTCCCTTCCCTCCTCTGGGGAAGGATAGGACCCAGGGCTTCTATCTGTGCGCTTCCCTGGTCTCTCTGCTCTCACCTGCGTCTTCCTCAGATGGTGGCTTCTTGCTCGCTCCATCCATGCTGAGCCTGCCTCAGTCCACCCCCCCACCAGGCCACCATCAGCCATACCCCCCCCCCCCCGACAGGAGTGGACACAGGCCCTCCCTGGCTGAGGCCGAGGGTCTCTGGACTTGGCCCTGCCCGGGCCATGGGGTGGGAAGCAATGCAGAGGTGGCTCCGGGCTCAGCTGCCGCGCTGGTTGGCCTGGCTTGGCTGGAGCTCCCTGGAGGGCAGCCGGGCTGGGGTCCTGGTCCTGCTCGTGGCTCTGGGTGTCTCCTGAGTGCCTACTCCTATGTGTGGTGCCAGCACAGTCCCCCTGCCTGAGCTGTGAGCCCGGGGACAGTGCAGGCTGCAGGGCCTTGTCCACACCCTGCCCACCGGGTCCCTTCTCAGTCTGCATTGCTGATGCCAGGCAGGCCCCGGGGCGTGGGCAGGGGCACAGCACAGCCCCGGGGCCATTGAGATGGCTGCTCTATCCTGCTTTACCCCACTGCTGGCCCTCGACACGAGGCGGTACCTCCTGTCCCCATCCCCTCCACCAAGTGATTGCAACCTTGGCGGTGCCGCTGGTGATGGGACGCCAGCCGCGTCTGGCGTGCGGTGCCTGTGCTGTGTCTCAGTTCCCGCCCTGTGCCGTGGGGACGAACAGCTGTGCCCTCAGTTGGGAGCTGTGGCGAGCGCGTCAGCAGGTCACCCTGGGTCGGGGCCTAGCACTGTCCCTTCCCCCTACCAGTGCAGGGCCTGGCAAACCCCAGGCACTCAGACCTGGCCCCGTGCCCCGGTGCTGGACAGGCTGCGAGCCTCGTCCCCTCGTCCCTCACGCCTGGTGAGCTCCTGGCGGGTTCTGGGTGCAGCCCAGCTCCTGTGGGCCCACAGGGCTTGAGCCTCAGCCATGTGTGGGGCCAGCACAGTGTGGGGTGTGGCCCTGAACTGGGCCCCGGGGCGCTGCTCCACCTGTACCATTGCTGTGAGGGTGGGTGCTGAGCCCCGGGCCGCCCCGGTGCTGGGAGACCCTCAGGCCCCTGTGAGTGGGAAGCAGGACCCCCTTGAGAGGGGGCACCTTAAGTCAGCTCTGTCCCTAGCCTGGCCCGTCCCTGGGGAGCCTAGGGCATGTTGGTGGACTGGGGGTTGACCAGATGCCTCTTCTCTCTTTTTAGGAAAATCCAAGAGGAAGAAGGATTTACGGATCTCCTGTGTGTCCAAGCCGCCTGCGCCCAACCCCACGTGAGTCGGTCTCAGTTTCCCCCTGGCTCATCTTGGACAGGCTTCCTGGGGTCCCGGCGGAGGGAGCCCCGAGGAAGGGGGCTGGCCCTGCCCTGAGTGGCAGAGGGTTGGGGGGGGGAGGTCCCAGCATCACTGAAGCTCTGTGCCCCACCCCATCCTGGGGGCTTGGCCCATGTGACAGCTGGGGTCCCCTGCAGCTCCTCAGCCCACCCTGGCCCTCTTTGAACTCAGTGTCTGCTTCCCCTCCCCCACAGACCACCCCGGAACTTGGACTCCCGAACCTTTATCACCATCGGAGACAGGGTAGGTGCCGCCGCCGCTGCCGCCGCAGCCGCCGCAGCCCTGGGCGCAGCCTCGCCATTCTCTGATGAGCGCACCACGCTGAGCCGCTGGGAGGGCCCTGGGAGGTGGAGGAGCCTGGCTCCCGGGGTTGCTGGCCGTGGCCCTGGGCCGCCTTCTCTCTGACATCACTGCAACCTGGGGTCCGTGGGGAGCCGAGTGAGCATGGCGCTCTCCGGAGCAGGCTCCTGGGCCAGCCAATGCCCCCACGTGCCCACCCAGGCTTGCCTGACCTCCGGGGCCCTCCCTCGACTGCCCAATCGCTGTTCTATCACCTGCACACTCGTCTCTCCTGGTGGAAGGAGCCCCTGTGAGGGCAAGGCCTTCCTTTTGTTCTCACTGGGAGACTTGCACGTGGCAGGTGCACTCAAGTGGCCGGGGGTGGGGGCGAGGGAAAAGGCAGCTCCCGGGCTCCCTTGGGTGTTGGTATAATGAGCAGCTCAGAGAGGTTCAGTGACTTACCCAGGGTCACACAGCAGGGACCGAGCCCAGATCTGAAAAACCGATCTTCTCTCTCCACGGTCCCAGCTGTCCCCACTGGGCCAGCTCCCAACTGGGTGCCCACCAACCCCCTCTCTATTCTGCCCCTCCCTCCCAAGAACTTCGAGGTGGAGGCCGATGACCTGGTGACCATCTCAGAGCTGGGCCGTGGCGCCTACGGGGTGGTGGAGAAAGTGCGGCATGCCCAGAGTGGCACCATCATGGCCGTGAAGGTAAGCGCCGTGCCCACTCGGCTCCAGGGCCTGGAGGCAACCGGGAGGGCTGCCTGGAGGAGGTGTGCGGGCGAGGGCTGTCTGCCCCCCTGCCGGGGCGGCCTCTCCACTGCAGCCCCTTTCCCCGCAGCGGATTCGGGCCACCGTGAACTCACAGGAGCAGAAACGGCTGCTCATGGACCTGGATATCAACATGCGCACAGTGGACTGCTTCTACACCGTCACCTTCTACGGGGCGCTCTTCCGAGAGGTGCGGCCTGGCAGGGTGGGGGCAGGCGGTGGGGTGTCGAGGGGCCTGCGCCAGTCTGCCTGTCTGCCAGGAGCCTCTGTCACTCAGCCCCGCCTTTCTGCATACCAGGGGTTGGGGACACGGGGCAGGCTAAGCAGAGCCTGCACAGCTGGGATCTTAAGCAGCCCTGCCATCTGTCTGGCACTGCCCTGCTCTGTGCCTCCGTTTCTCTGTCTGTGACTATCTGCGCCTCTCAGCGCCCTCCTGTGGTGGGCATGGGGGCTGAAGCCATGCACCAGCAGGTGCAGCTGCAGCCTGGGGGTCGGGGGCGGGGCCTGGCTGTGCAGGGGTGAGGTTCTGGGTCTGCAGGAAGGGCAGGCGAGGCAGCCAGGACTGAGCTACCACAAGGCAGGGGGCAGCGAGGCAGGCCCGTGTTGCTGGCTGGCTCACGGCTGTCCTGGAGGGCTGTGGGTTTAGGAAGCAGAGGGAGAGGCCGACGTCCCAGGTCGGCGCAGGCGCGCAGGCCCGGCTAAGCCCGGTGCCGCCCCCAGGGAGACGTGTGGATCTGCATGGAGCTCATGGACACGTCGTTGGACAAGTTCTACCGCAAGGTGCTGGAGAAAGGCATGACAATCCCGGAGGACATCCTGGGGGAGATCGCCGTGTCTGTAAGTAGGCTTGGCGGGGGCGGGTTTCCAGGGCCAGGGCCAGAGGCCCCCTGGTACTGCTCAGCTCCCTGACTCCAGACTGGAGCCTTCTCGCTGGGAGATGCCAGACCAGGCTCCGGCCTCTAAGAGCAACTCTGTAGCCCCTGCCATTGTTAAAAAAGAAACTTAGCATTTCCACCTGCCTCCCACCAAGCACAGCGCAGGGCAGCTGCAGGGGTGCAGGCCAGGCTGGGGAAGGTCCGCATTGAAGCGCTGGGTCTTGGAGGAGGGCTGGAGCATCCTGGCAGCCAGAGGGAAAAGGGCAACGGGCTTCTTGGTACCACCAGAGGCTGTCCACCCTGAGTGGGGACATTGAAAGCAGGGTGACTTCCTACGAGGCCAGCAGCTTGCCGGACCAGGGCAGGGGACTCGGGGAGACTGGGCTCTGCCCCAGAGGAGCCTGGTCGGTGGTGTGATGGCCCTGGGAGGGGGGTACAGCCTGGGATCCCTGGGGGTCCGGGGCAGGGCTTATGACCCTGAGGGTGAGAGGGGGCGGGCAGGAGGTGGGCGTGTCTGGGCCAGGATATCCGGGGTGCCAGGGCAGCTGCTGGGTCATAGGCAGGAGTCCGGGTGGGGGCGGGGGTGGCAGGGCTGCAGGGGGCTCAGGAGGTGGACATAGGGTTGTGGGAGGGGTCTGGCTGCTCCGATCCTCACCGGCCGGCCCTGCCCTCCCCAGGTGGTGCGGGCCCTGGAGCACCTGCACAGCAAGCTCTCGGTGATCCACAGAGGTCAGTGCTGTGGGAGGAGCCTCGGGCTGTGGGGCGGGGAGGCAGCTGGGGTGGGGGACCCCCTGCCCAGCCCAGAGCCTCCTCTCCCGCCCCGTGCCTGGGGCCACTTGTCCCGGCTGGGGATCAGTGTCGCATTCATTGGCCCGCCTCTGGCCTCATCAGCAGGCCATGACTCGGGGAGGAGAGCCCCTGGGACCGCCCAGTGCCCACCCCGTCCCCGCCCCTGCCCCAGAGAGACTTGGCTCCCGCTAACCCTGGCTGTGTGACCGTGGGCTGACAGCACCTGCCTCAGCCTCATCCAGTCCTCGGGGGAAGGGGGGACGGGGGGAGGCGGGGCAGGGGGTGGGCACAGTGTCTCCCTTGGTCAGGGCTGAGTATGGCGCGCCCGCCCCGCAGACGTGAAGCCGTCCAACGTCCTCATCAACAAAGAGGGCCACGTAAAGATGTGTGACTTCGGCATCAGCGGCTACCTGGTGGACTCCGTGGCCAAGACCATGGACGCCGGTTGCAAACCCTACATGGCCGTGAGTGCCCTCAGGGAGCCAGGGGCCTGGGGGCGGGGCCTTCCATGGATGTGTATCTCTGCACCCGGAATGGTCCCTGGGCATCAGCGGGGTGGGGGTGGGGGTCTCCCCTGGGCAGATGCGTGCGGTTTCTGCGGGGCCCAGCTCCGTAACCCCCATGTTAGGAAGGTGAGGGGCCGTGAGGTCAGGACTGGGCCTGGCCGTTGTGGGCCTGTTTCCCCCTTTTTGTGGGTGTCAGGTGGTGAGGCAGGGCACAGCCTGGAGGGGGCGCTTACACCTTGCCCTGTCCCCCCTGCAGCCTGAGAGGATCAACCCGGAGCTGAACCAGAAGGGCTACAACGTCAAGTCCGACGTCTGGAGTCTCGGCATCACCATGGTAACGCGTGTGTGTGGGGGGCGGGGCTGGCTGGGGTGGGGGTGGAGCTTCAGACCTGGGGCGGAGACGCACCTTGCAGAGTTCCCACCTGTTAGGGGCCACCACATGCCACCGCATCCCTTCCTGTAGTGGGTGTTCTCTCTGCTCATGAGGAAGCCCAGCCAGCGTCAAATCCAGCGAGCCCCAGGCAGGCCAGTCATCCGCACGCAAAATCAGTCCTGGCCCGTGGGCTGGAGACACCCCCGGCTTGAACGACAGGGAGGCTGGGCTGGGGTGGACGCACCCGCGGCCCTGGTACAGGGATGGGCCCTCGCCCCATACCTGTCAGAGCTCAGGGAGGGGTGGGGTCAGGTGTGTTTAATTGTGTCTGGCTCCTATTCCGGCCTCTGTTATAGAAAGCCCAGCGGGGGTGGGAGGGAGGGGATGATGGGCTGGGCACGTGAGGGGTCCAGGAGCCGGCCCCACCCCTCCACGAAGCCCAGCGGGAGGTGTCCTGGAATCCAAGGCTTCCCTGTTCACCCTGGGCCAGGGAAATCCTTGCCTGCCTGCCCCGGCCCTGTGGCAGTGGGTGAGGGGCACGTGTGTGTGTGTGTGTGTGTGTGTGTCTGTCTGTCCTGGGCGATCCCCTGGGACTGACATCAACGACCTGGAGTTGGTGCAGACTCCACGGAGCTAACGGCTCAGTCCCACGAGACTGACTCCAGCCGCTTCTTCCTCCGGGGCTGCCAACGGAGCAGCTAGGACTCGGGGGCTCCCAGGCCCGCCCCTGGCTTGAGAACCTGCCACCAGCTGGGGTGACGGCTGGCCTGGGCTGGGCTCTCTGGTGTAGTTTAGTTCTTTGCCCCATGGGTTATGAAAGTAATAGAACCTGATTTAAATACAGAGAATAGCAGGTGCCCCCCCTACTTTTTGAGCTCTTTAGAAGGAATTCCCAGAAAAGCATTTCTGCCTTTCTAAGTATCACCCCCCACCCCTACTGGGCCCTTGGTACAGATTGGAATCAGGGAAAAGAAGATACTGTGTGGCCACGCCCCTACCCACCACCGTGCAACTCCGCCCCTCCGTGGGCGTGGCCACGTCTGGGCTGCTCCGTGCTGGCCAACAGCGGGCCAGCCTTTCGTGTTAGCCTGGGTCGTCTCCGCTCCTCAACATGGCCTGCTGGCCGGGCCATGCATTGGACCCACGGATTCTGTGCTGTTGTAGGCAGGGGGCCTGGGCTGGCTCTAACAGCCAAAACCCGAACCCAGGGTTCCCTGTAAGCCAGCCTGGCCCTTCCACAAAAGTCCTGCCGCCAACAGGGGTTGGGGGCCCAGCAGGTGGAAGGAACGGTCAACCCAGTGTCGCTCAAGAGGAGGCAGACTCTGGGGGAGGCTGGGCCAGCCCCAAGAGGTTGGAGTGACCACCAAGAGGGATGGGCTCCCTGGAGGCGGTGCCTGGCAAAGCGCCCCTATCGGGTCAGGTTCCCCCTGCAGCCAGAGGCCCGGTGTGAGAGCCACCTGTGACCTGCTGCCTTCCAGGGGCAGGGCCCAAGGCTGCCAGCCCCTCCCACAGTTCCAGCGCGGCTGGGCCCCGGATTAGGTACAGTCTTTCTGAACGCAGGCCGTTAGCAAAGCTGGTGCCTGCCACACCAGTCCCCAGGCTGCCGCGTTGCACTGGGACAGGCAGCGTCGCAGCCCCTCGGCCTGCCCTGGCTCCCGGCACCGGGCCGGGCCGGGCTGGACAGATCCTGCCGACCCCTTGGCTTCTGGCGCAGGGTGCGGGTGCGTCCTGCTGACTCCCGCGTCCCCACTGCAGATCGAGATGGCCATCCTGCGGTTCCCTTACGAGTCCTGGGGCACCCCATTCCAGCAGCTGAAGCAGGTGGTGGAGGAGCCGTCCCCCCAGCTCCCGGCCGACCGCTTCTCCCCCGAGTTTGTGGACTTCACCGCGCAGTGGTGAGTCTGGCCCTGCTGAACCCCTGAGCGCCCCTCAGTAGACAAACCCCAGATCTCCCCCCTGGCCCTCAAAACACGCACAGCCTCAGCCTGGCCTCAGCCTCTTTCTTCTCCCCCAGCCTGAGAAAGAACCCCGCCGAACGCATGAGCTACCTGGAGTTGATGGTAAGTGCAGGCAGGTGGGCTGGGGGGGCAGTGTCCTGGGGAGGCCGCACCCCTCCACGTGCAGACAGGCAGCTCCCATGTTTACTCATTTTGGAGTACTCGGTCATCCCTGGCTCCCTCCACCACACCAGGCCCTGTGGGACAGGGGGTTTAGCAGTGGCATCAGGGAAGGCTGCATGGAGGAGGTGGCCTTTGAGACTGGGAGGAGGGGGCGTTCCAAGCAGAGGGTGCAGCGTGTCGGGGGAAGAAGGCGTTTGGTTCTTGTGGCCAGACGGCTGTGGAGGAGCCATGAAACCTATCTCTGGCAGTCATGGAGGGCTTCCCTGGGCAGGGGTGGTGGTGGTCCCAGCAGGGAAGTTAGGAGTTTGTCTGCAGGAAGAACCCACGTGGTGACATTGCCTCCTGCTGTCACTTGCAGGAGCACCCTTTCTTCACCTTGCACAAAACCAAGAAGCCAGACATCGCTGCCTTCGTGCAGGAGATCCTGGGAGAGGACTCATAGGGGCCAAGCTGGGGCCCCGCCCACAGCCATAAGCTACTGCCCTCCTGGCCCTGGGCATCCAGGACGAAGCCAGGGGCTGCTCCTGCCTGGCTGTGTGAGGAACTGTCGGTCACAAGCGCCGAAGACCCGAGACCCTGGACTTGGAGGGGCCTGGCCGCCCCTGCTGGACGCTGCTGCCCCCTTGTGGAGAAGTGCCAGTGCCGTGTGGGCTGTGGCCAGCCAAGCTGTATATATTTTTTTAATCTCTCAACTGAATGAACTGTGCACCCTTTGGTCCTGGCCTTGGTGTGGGGGATGAGCTGCGTGGATCTGCTCCCCCCGCCAACGAACTCCCGCCCAGGCTGTGACATTGGCACCTGTGACCTGGGGGACCCAGCCACCGGCCCCCACCGCCACTGCCAGGGGTCACTTCACTTTTTTTTTTTTAATTTATCCTCTGTTGATCCCCCCCCCCCATTTCTTTCGCTTAGTGGGTTTGGCTGGTTTTTCTTGCATGGATTGACTTTTCCACCCTGTGGGCTAAGCAGCAGGTGCACCCCAGTCCCCTGGGCTCACGCCGGAGTCTCGGCTCACAGAAGTGCCTGGGGAGCCCGCTGGCTCCCTCTCCCTGGGGACCTGCTTGACAAGGGCTATGAATTTGCTTTGGTGGTGTTTGAGGAAAAAAACAAACAAACAAAAAAACCAAAAAAAGGAAAATATATTTTTATGAAGAAAGAATTGTCCATCCTGGGTCCTTTCCCCAAGAGGCTGGGGCAGCCACCTGGTTTTTTTTTTTTTTTTTTTTTAAATAAAGATTTATTTATTTTTTTTTTTTTTAATTTTTTTTTTTTGACAGGCAGAGTGGACAGTGAGAGAGAGAGACAGAGAGAAAGGTCTTCCTTTGCCGTTGGTTCACCCTCCAATGGCCGCCGCGGCCGGCGTGCTGCGGCCGGCGCACCGCGCTGATCCGATGGCAGGAGCCAGGAGCCAGGAGCCAGGTGCTTTTCCTGGTCTCCCATGGGGTACAGGGCCCAAGCACCCGGGCCATCCTCCACTGCACTCCCTGGCCACAGCAGAGGGCTGGCCTGGAAGAGGGGCAACCGGGACAGAATCCGGCGCCCCGACCGGGACTAGAACCCGGGGTGCCGGCGCCGCTAGGCGGAGGATTAGCCTAGTGAGCCGCGGCGCCGGCCATTAAATAAAGATTTATTTATTTGAAAGAGTTACAGAGAGGCAGAGGCAAAGAGAGAAAGAGAGAGAGAGAGAGGTCTTCCACCCACTGGTTCACTCCCCAGATGGCCGCAATGGCCAGAGCTGTGCCCATCAGAAGCCAGGGGCCAGGAGCTTCTTCCGAGTCTCCCACGTGGGTGCAGGGCCCACAAGGACTTGGGCCGTCTTCTGCTTTGCCATTATCATCGGGGTGAGGACGCTGTGACAAGGGACCTCATTCTGTGACCGGGTGCCCCCCGCCCCCTGTGCTGGATGCTGGACACAGCAGCAGCCCCCCCAGGCCTGGTCCAGGGCTGCACACGGCCACCCACCTCGTCGAGGGCGTTATACTGCCTACAGCTTATGAGAGCAGTGGCAGGCGCGGGGACAGGTGGCCTCCCTCTGGAGCTGAGGGGTGTGGGCGGGGCTTGCTCCTATAAGCAGGCACCTGTGGGGTCCCGCCCTGATGGACACATGTCTCAGTGTCATGCTCACCCCCACCCCCAGGGCCTCTGCCTCTAACCGGCTGGGCAAGGAGTCACGTGCTCACCCCCATCCCTGGGCCAGCCACAAGCCAGGTGGACAGAGGCGAGGGTCAGAGCCAGTGCTGGCGTCCAGGAGCGCCTCCCCCAACCCCGCCCCGAAGCTGGCCTGGCCCATGGAACCCGTGAGTCAGCCCAGGCGGCCACGGTCGGTCGCTCGCCTTCGCTGACCCAATGCGCTGACCTCAAAGCCCCGCCCCCAACCCGTGGCTTGCTCGTGCGCTCGGGAGCCAGGAACAGGGGCGCGGCCCTGCTCGCCTCCTCCTGCGGCCGCCAGGGGGCGGCAGAGCCCCGGCCTGCCCCGCGTTCCTGCCTCCCCCACCCCCAGCCCGGAGCCACGCCCTGGGCCCGGAGAGGGCGTGGCCAGGGGCCCGCACCGACCCCTGCCCAGACCCCTGCCCAGACCCCTGCCCAGACCCCTGCCCAGACCCCTGCCCAGACCGGCGGAGGCCCGGGCGCTGGCTCCCCTGACACCGCCCTCGCGTCCAAGATTCAGGCAGGCGCGCGGTGTGCGGGGCCTGCGCGGGTTTGACAGCGCGGGACCTCGGGTGGCAGGGGTCAGCAGGCCGGGGCCTGGCCTGGCAGCGCCTACCCCTGCCCCGGGTCGACTGGTGGATACTCAATAGCAGTCTTGGGCTTTGCAGAACATGGGCAGCCCCGCCCCATGAAGACCTGTGCAGCCTTCTCGCCCTGGGACCTTGCTGCCCTCCTGCTTTGCCCCTGCTCTGGGCTCCTCAGCAAACCCCAGGGCCTTTGCACAGGCTGTGGTCCTCGGCCAGATGCCCTCCCCCAGATTCTGTGCTTGGGGTGGCTCTGCTCAGCTGCCACTTCTTCCGAGAGGTCTCCCTGACTACCTTGCCTTGTTTATCGGCTTTTTGCCCATCATCTGCCTCTCTCTGTGCAGCGTGGTTGGGGGGGGCGCCAGGAGCCTGGCTCAGTGCAGGAGCTGGTCAGGTCACCTACCCTTGTGGCCCTGAGGACTGCGTTTCAGGGCCGGATAGCAGGTGGCACTGAAGCTGGGACCTGGGCGCCCGCATTGGGGGGGGGGTCTCCTCCTCCAGGGGCTGCTCAGCTCCAGGATGGACTCCTGTCACTCGTCAGGGTCCCAGAAGCTGTGTGGGCAGCCCCGGCCCGGGGCCGGCCAGCAAGCAGCTCCATCCACCAGCTCCCTGGGGTTTTTGTGCACAGAGGCACGGAGGGCCAGAGTCGCCCCATCTCTGGGAAAGACTCAGCACCCTTGTCCCTCCCACGGGCCCCCAGCCCACCCTCTCTGCTTTGCATACTTTCCCCGATGGGGAGCTCACTACCACGCGGACACGCAGCCCTGTTTTAGGTCCCCAGGCGTGCGGGGCCGAATGCTCGTTTCTCTGCCTCCCGGGAACGGCGCTGTGGATCCCTGGGAAGCCAGGTGGGAGGTTCTATATATACACCAGCCGTACTATGTTTGTCAGTGCCCTGCACATCATGGCTGTGACCCGGGAGGCCACCGTGGCTCCGTGAGGCTCAGGCTCTGGGCCTGCCTGAGGCCACCCCGAGGGAGGCAAGGCCGGGGGTGGGGTAGTCCAGGGACTCAGGTGTTCTGTCCCAGGCCCAGGCATTCAGTCCCCCTCCCCCACCGTGGTGCACCTGCCGAGTCTGGTGCACCCGCCTCCAATCTTACAGAAGCCGGGGGCCTGAGGCTGGACCAGACTTGTGGGCGACTAGGACTGGGGGAGGCAGCTGCAGCCGCCATTTCTGGCTGACACCAGGAGAGTTGCTTTTTTTCTTTCTTTCTTTCTTTTTTTTTTTTTTTTGACAGGCAGAGTGGACAGTGAGAGAGAGAGACAGAGAGAGAAAGGTCTTCCTTTGCCGTTGGTTCACCCTCCAATGGCCGCCGCGGCCGGCATGCTGCAGCCAGCACACCGCGCTGATCCGATGGCAGGAGCCAGGTGCTTCTCCTGGTCTCCCATGGGGTGCAGGGCCCAAGCACCTGGGCCATCCTCCACTGCACTCCCGGGCCACAGCAGAGAGCTGGCCTGGAAGAGGGGCAACCGGGACAGAATCCAGCGCTCTGACCGGGACTAGAACCCGGTGTGCCGGCGCCGCAGGGGGAGGATTAGCCTAGTGAGCCGCGGCGCCGGCCGACACCAGGGGAGTTTCTCTGTGTACCGGTCTTTTCCCCCAGCTCCCAAACCCTCCATGGCCCCCTCTTGCCCCTGACATCAAGAGACAAGGAAGCCCCATGTGCCCCGTCCTGCAGCAGGGCCTTGTCTGGGTTGCTCTCTGTAAGACTTGAGAGGTCCTACTGTGCGCTAGGCGGTATTCTAGAAACTGGGGCCAGGGCAGGGCCGAGCCAGAGCTGGTTGGCCCTCTGCCGGGGGCAGGGATGCGCAGATGCCCTGAGCAGTGTCTCTCACCTTTCCCGTGTCACTCCCCGAGGAGAGACACCGAATGAGATGAACGGCAATTAATTGGCCCATTTAAACTAATGAAGGTTAATTACAACAAAGTGATTTGACTCGATTGGTTAATTAAATGATTTAGATTTGAATTTCAAAGCCCCCGAGGCAGGACGGGGCTTGGTGCAGGGGCAGAGGAAAGGGACAGGAGGAGAGCTGGCACTGGCTTCAGAACTCGGCAGAGGAGCTGGTCTTCACATTTGGGGTGCACGGGAGCCACAGAGAGGGGCAGAACACTGGGGGTCACCCCTCTGCCTTAGAGCCTGCTCCAGGCTCCCTGGCTCTGGGGGTCCGACAGCCTTGAGTTGGACTTTGTCACCCCCCAGGGTGTGGGACCTCAGGATGTCACAGCAGCTCTCTGTGACTCAGTCTACCCATTGCAGCTCAAGCCCAGTGGGACAGGTACACAGTTGGTGCTCAATTAATGAGCTGCTTCGCCTCTGGGCCTGTCCCCCAGTGCCCCCTCTCCTCTCTGCAGCTGTCTGTAAACCCAGGTCGTCCCTGTGGGTCCCCCGAAGACACACACAGCCAGGTGGCCCTGGACTTGAACTTGAAACCTGATCAGTGGTCTTTGGTGAGGTCCTGGGGCTGTGGGATTCCACAGCTGCTCTGGCGGGAGGGGACAGCGTGGCTGTCTTGGGTAGGGACTAGACAGGGTGCAGGGACGGGGTGCAGGGACAGGGTGCAGGGACTGCCTCCTTGCCAGGAATCACCTACCCTGTGTCTGTGTGCTTCCCTGGCTCACTCACAGAGGACATAGTCATGGCAGCTGCCTTCTCTGCCTGTCGAGCTCCTACTCAAACCTCAAAACCCTGTCCACTGGCTCTGCTTTCAAGAGGGTGTGCCTGCTCCCACTGAAATGGGCGTGCACCTGCCCTGGAAGTCCTCGCCTTGAGTGTGTGACCGCCTGCCCCAGCCCCCCCACCCCCCAAAGCTTCCTCTGGGACCTGCGCTGCCAGCTGAGGCTACATGTCCCTCGTGGGCAGCCCAGAAGCCAAGAGAGAGGACTTGGAGGGGCTGTGCCGAGGGAGCTGCGGGTGCCCCGGGACAGCTGTGGTCATTATTTTATTAATGAAAGATGTGATTGTTTATTTGAAAGGCAGAGTGACAGAAAAAGAGGGAGAGACACAGACACACACACACACACACACATCCATTGGTTCACTCCCCAAATGCCTGCTACAGTGGGGCTGCGTGAGGCAGAAATCAGGAGGCTGGAACTCCACTGGGATCCCCTCCCTGAGTGGCAGATGTCCCAGTCCTTGAGCCATCACTGCTGCCACCCAGGGTGGCCTTAGCAGGAAGCTGGAGTCGGGAGTTGGAGCCAGGAACTCAGTCCAGAGACAGCACTGGGGGGTGTGGCCATCCTGACTGGGGTCTTCATCGGGCAAAGAAAATTTTTTTTAAAAGTTTATTTTACTTGAAAGAGTTATAGGCAGAGAGAGACAGAGAGGTCTTCCACCCACTGGTTCTCTGGCAATGGCCAGGACTTCATCCAGGTCTCCCACGTGGGTGCAGGGACCCAAATACCTGGGCCATTTTTCAGTGT